ATAGCATATAAAACAAATAAAAATTCTATTCTAAAATTTTAGGGGCGTTACAGTAACCAACGAGACATGAAATAAATTTTAGTGATCATGAGTACACTCAGAATCAAATATAGAAGTTGTGACAAATATTGCTGCTGGCTTTCAGATCATCCTTGGTTACAGAATGCCAAGAAGGCTCCAAATGTGTCTTTGGGTGAAACCGTGAGGGCAAGGCTCAAGCAATTCTCCATGATGAACAAATTGAAGAAAAGAGCTCTAAGGGTAATTTCTCTTGCTTTGCACATTTATACAAGAGCAATTTCTTGATTCCTTTCATTTATGCCTAATGTAGTTCCGAAGCTCATTTGTTGATGCCTAAAAGCATCTCATAGCAAGGTATTTGATTACTAAAATTGCTTTTTCAAACAACAGGTGATTGCCGAGCATTTATCGGCGGAGGAAGTGGCAGGCATAAAGGAAGGATTCCAATTGATGGATACTGGCAACAAGGGGAAGATTGACCTTAATGAGTTGAGAGCTGGGTTGCACAAGCTCGGGCATCAGATCTCAGATGCTGATATTCAAGTTCTTATGGAAGTAGTAAGTACTTAAGTTAGAAACTTGTTAGGCTTAAGCATGCTTGGTTTATAAGTAAACTTCCAGGAAAATAATTTTCTAAATAAAAAGCATATTTTTGATCGAAGTTGGAATAAGTTACTTATTTTAATAGCAATGTAGGAGTAACTTTAAGAAAGCAACTTATTTTGCATAAACAAGTAAGAAACAGGTAAACTCCAAATATGTTATATACACTTTTCCTTTTTATTTTTTATCTTACCAAACAATCTCCTTCGATTTGACTCATCGGCTCTGCGCGTNAAGAAACAGGTAAATTCCAAATATGTTATATACACTTTCCCTTTTTATTTTTTATCATACCAAACAATCTCCTTTGAATTGACTCATCGGCTCTGCGCGTTCTCTTGAGTGGCATAAGACTGTGTAGTCTTTTGTTAATAAGCACTGTATTATTTGCCAAGTTTGTTGCGACATCCCTTTTAGGTGACTGTTGCATTATTAGCATTTATATCCCGTATCATTCCATGATTGAATCGGAAACTGTTGCGCGTTGTATGATATCAACATCACTGATATCCAAACCCTGTTTTTCTTTTCCGCGCGTGAGTGCAAGATCGAATAGTATATTTGTGTGCAATCAGTACCAATTTCCTTGCATGCCATGTACAATCAAATTTTCAACTTCTGTCCGTTTCTTTGATAACATGAAGTATTCAAATTTTTACAGGGCGATGTAGATAAAGATGGATATCTCGACTATGGAGAGTTCGTTGCAATTTCTGTTCACCTGCGGAAGATGGGGAATGATGACCATCTGCAGAAAGCCTTCGAGTTCTTTGATAAAAACCGAAGTGGGTATATAGAGATTGAAGAGCTGAGGGATGCCTTAGCTGACGAGGTGGAGACTACCAATGAAGAAATTATTAGTGCCATTATTCAAGACGTAGACACTGACAAGGTCAGTTAATCTTTCACAGCTGTCAAGTCTTGATTATTTCTCACTCCCCAACTCCAAGGCGAACAGTTTCCAACTGTTGATTAAATTTGTGAATAAATGTGTTCCGACTCTAATAACTTAAGCTTTTAAATTAGGTGATTTGACATGATATTAGAGTAGAGGTAGAGCCTTTGAGTTCAACTCTTTTGTGCTACCTATTTATGAACAATTTAAACTTTTAAATGAGGTAATCCAGCATGATACTAGAATAGGGGTAGAGGCATTGAGTTCAATTCTTGCCATTAGCTATTTATGAAAGTTGTACAGATGTCGAGTTTTGATGGATAATGAATCTGATTTGCACATGAGGAGGCATGTTTAAATACGAAATTTAAAATGTAGATGATTTTCCTCTCTAAAAGCTTGAGTTTTGGATGAGGCTGCTTAGCTTAACACCATTGGCTAAAGATTCCATTAATCCATGCAAGAAAAGGCCTTCTCGAAAAATCCGTCTTTGATATTTCATACTCGATCTCAAAATGTGTATTAATCTTCTTAGGTTACTTGAATTTTGTTCATCTCTGTGCAGGACGGACGTATTAGTTATGAAGAATTTGCTGCAATGATGAAGGCGGGCACGGATTGGAGACAGGTATCAAGACAGTATTCACGGGAACGATATAATAGTCTCAGCTTGAGATTGATGAAGGGTGGATCATTACGGTTAAACAACGAGGGTTCATAGCTTAGAGTGGTTGACATATACTTTTTGATATTATGGTTTCGGCTAAAAAATTTCTTCGTTTTTTAATTTTTAATTTTATTTTTATCCTTATTGTTTACTTGATCCTTTTTATAGGGTATAACTAGGTATGAGTCCCCTGTTTTTTTGTATTTCTTAAGTGTAAATGTTCTGCTTCATATTCTTGGATGGTTGCAGAAAAGGTATAGAATGAGAGGTGATTTTTTGTGTAATTATCTTATCAAGACATTTAATTACTTATCTTAAAGCCTTTAACGTCCAAATATTAAGGTTTCCATCACTTTTAATGATTTAGAGATGAGTTTTGGCGTTCATGTGTTCGACTTGCTCGAGATTGCCTCTTAACATTATTGAAAAAAACTTCTTTTAAGTAACTAAGAACTTTTGTATTTGTTTATTTTTATACTTACTTAAAAACTAGGTGCAAGCAACGTACAATG